AATCCAAAGTGTAATCTGCAATCATATTGGTTCTAACCATGCATCTCGGCTTCAGCCACTTTCCCACCGCATTAGCTCAGCTTTCATGTGCCTTTTCTGTAAATACCTAAAATTGAAGAATTTAATCGCAATAGTAGATCGGAAGAAAGGTCTTATCATCCTCAGAAGAAATGGATAGAAATAAACACAAGTCCTATGCTAAACAATTTCTTATATCGCACTTTTCGCTTTTGGAACTTATTCCGGGGTTTTGCTTCCCAGTCAATTTTGCTCTTCAAAGATTTAAATCTATCTATCTATCTATCTATCTATCTATGTTTCAACCATAGAGCGAATCTTATTAGGCACTGCTACATTGGACACTTCGAAGGCGCCTATCGTGGTATATGTGTTAGAAGTCTCCTTTATCTCCTGCATTGAATTAAATATTCATTCGATCCTGTACATTTGAAGATTAAGTCCAGGCTAAGATGAGCATTGATTTACGGCTTCTGGAACGATATGGGCACAGAACGAACCACGTAACAGAATACAAATTCTGAGCTTAATTAAAGTAATTTCAGTCTTAATAGATTTATTAAGAGGGATGATTTACTTTCCACTCTACATCCTCTTTCCTCGAATACAAAATGTAGAAGCCTATCCGTGCCATGTCATTAATTCCATTGCAAATTGTCGGATGAACTCCACTGTTTTGTTCCACCAGTTCAAACCATTATAGATAGGGCTGCGTTCACGGAATTGAATCACCAAAATCTCTCCCGTATTCCATGCGTAAGAAGGAAGTGTCATTTCACAGCACCTTCCCGAGACATTCTACTCTGTGGAAGAAACTCATGCACGCGTGCTCCCCTGAACAAAATACTTATAGCCTTTTCAATTCAATGACTAATGACTATCTATCCTCCTTATATTCATAATCTTCTCTTCATCCGACCTGCGCACATTACATTCAGTAACGCACTAACACAAATGGCTATTGATGGTGAAAAATTATATATATATATATATATATATATATATATATATATATATATCTGGCCTCTGTATCTCCAGTTGCCTTGATCTATCCACTACTCTTCTCCTCATCCTTTCTTCTATCACTCCTAGCTGATCGTGCTCCAAATTTTCTGTAACCCCTTGCGTCCTAGTGGCTTTCCGCCTTGCTTGGGGTGGAACGCTTAAAAAAAAATATACGCGCACACACACTCGCACACACACACACGAAGGAGTCCTTAAAAGTTTTTAACACGACCAACAAAGAATTAAGAATTATGTTGATGTTCCATCAGATTTTAAAAAGCAGATCAGTTCCTAGGAAACTGACAGCCCGACAAGAGAGAATTGATTCTAGTGGTGAAGGATTCGTGCAGGACAATCCACACTTTTTGAATACAGAGACCTGGTGCACTACGTGCCACAAGGTCCCCAAGCGACCCGACCCTCGGCAGGTTTTGAATTCAGAGTTGTTCTTCTCCTAGACCATTTGCCATCCAAGGCTATAGAAGCCAGTCTGTCCTGCTATTTACCCATAGCTGGAGGGAGAAGAAGAGGATTCACACATTTCCTAAGGGTATTAGCACGTAAGTGAATGTAATGGATTCGACTGGAATTCGAACTCTGCTCTCTGATTCCTCAATTCAAGCCGCTATACATTATTCCACTGTGTGTGTGTGTGTGTGTGTGTGTGTGCGCGCGCGCGCGTGCGCGCGCTCTGTTGTTAATAAAACAGTGTTCCATGTAACATAACAGAGCGATTAAGTCTATATTGATAAATATATATAAGCAAGTGTAAATGGATATAAATTTTTCTTCATTGATAAATATACATTTTATTCCTCAGCGGCAGCACGGCTCGGAATTTCATGTACAATTCATAAATTTCCAAGTCGTGCTACCGCTGAAGATTAATATGTATATTTATATATCGGATGCGAGCGGGAAATTATCACCATTTTATTTTATTTTTTTTATTTCGCGCATGCGCGTTGTTTGTTTTTGATTTGGTCGATGCACAATATGATAAGGCCAGTTGGTCACCGTCTGTGATTAAAAAAAAGAGCACCATGACGCAATTCACTCAAATCTATATCCTTTTTATTAACCTTGTGTCAGGCTTAGCTAGGCTTTGTGACTTCTTTTCTCGGACACGATCTGCTATTTGGACGGCAAGGAAATAGTTGCTTTGTTCATCTGAAGCCGGGAATTAGACTGAAGTGTTGAATAATACACTGACACCAAAATAACTATTTTTGCTAAAGGACATATTTTTTTTATATTATTGTTCACCTAATACAAGGCCCAAGAGCCACTCAAAGCAGATGGTTACTGAATGAGGTTGTAAGCGCGTAAAAAGGGGGGGAATAAGAAACGCACATAATGAGGATATGTTGTATAGATAACAGTTTAACTTAGATTTAAAGAAGTTAAGGTCGCTGTGATCGGAGGAGCATGTACTCGAAAGTCTTTATCAGAAAGTAACGGTTCTGAGGGAGATGCTGGGTAGAACTTCCTCCTTACCAATGGAATACGAGTATAAGAGGATAATTCATCCCGGTGTACATGACTTCGAAGGATTTAATCTCTGATTGTCTTAACTGACGGAAAGAATAATATATGCCGTCTGAACATTAGCCATGAAAAAAGCAATAGATTAGTAAAAAGGCTAATGTTTCGTCAGCTAGAAATGGGTTGTTCGTTTGGAAATAATTCATCACCCAAATGGCCGTGTAAATCTGTGAGGATGGAAAATTAGGATTGGCGGACTTAGAATTTACACCGAGTTAGTCTAATACATGACAGTGAAATGATGTGCGAATTAATGTTCAAGATTAGATAAAATCCAAATATTTGAATGCTAATCTTCATGACAAGTCCCCAGCTTGAAAGATTGGCGGAATACAATCTTCCTACTAATAAGTTGCTTTTCGCTTTACTGAGCTAATCTTGTTAAATAACACATTTAACCAACAGCTTCTTTTCTCACACCACCCGCCTGTGGAATACTTGCTTCCCTGATAACTACAATCTTCAAAAATGTAAATGCAATGACAATCGTCATTTCTAATGTCTTAAACCGAGTTAATCTTTTATCCTTTCCTCATTCCCCCTATACACATCTTTTTTTTTCTCTCAGCTTCACTCTATGTAACCCCCTGCGAATTATTGGTACTCCAGTCTTGCTTGGGAGGAATGCTTAAAAAAATTAAGTTTAAAAAAGAAGGAGTACTGTGTACATTAATTAAGTTAGCAAATCACAGAATGTTTAAATAATGTATGACAAGTGAATACAGAAATTTGTCCAAAATCCGAAGTCATGTAAGACAGTCTTTTCTGAAACTGATGTATTTACCTTCCCAAAGCGAGACCCAGTTAACGTCTACGGATGGAAGTGCATTAGAAATAGATTACAAGTAAGCGAATGCCTTTATTGATTTTTCTTTCTTTCTTTCATTCTTTCTATCGTTCTTTCTTTCTTTCTCTCTCCCTCTCTCTCTCTCCTTCATTCATTTATTCTTTATGTTTTCCCTCCCAATCTTTCTTCTCGCCATATTGGAAAAGTCGGTTTTGTTTGTCACTGGAGAACATTTACTGTAAAAAGTCTAAAAAGAGACAAAACGCAAGAACATTAAATATGATCAAACTGCAACGAACAACAAAGATATAATAGTATATTGTACATTGTTATACCGCACTTAAAGACATTTCTATATATATATATATATATATATATATATATATATATATATATATATATATATATCGGTAATGCTAAAATTGTTTATATTTTCGTATTTCTTATTTAATCACATATTTTTCATTTTTTCCCGTTTATTTGTTACGATTTCGTTTCATTTTTTTTAAAGCAATGCTATGGAGTTTGTATAAATAAACACAAGGTTATTAAATTACCTTCTATTTTTTTTTTTTTTGCTTATTTTCTTTTCTTTTTTCTTTTTTTCGTTGACTCTTTTACTGTCTATCTTGGTTCCTCCCCAAAATATTAAAAATTTTTCTATTTTTTTCTCCAATTTTAATTACATAAGACGAACACAAAATAATCGATAGCATTATTTTCGTCAGTTCCACGATAAATGTTCAAATGCCTCCATATTGTGAAATGGCCTCTTAGTATTTTCCAGAATATTTTTCGGACTGTTACTATATATATAGGGTGTCCATAAAGTTCGTGTGCACTTTAAAAAGTTTATACCTTTATTTGTATTTGCGATAGGAATAATTTGTAAAAAGGATTAGAAAGAAGTAAATCTATATTTTTTAAGGTTTTATTCTAAGTTTATTTAAGTTTCCACATGTCCTCCATCATTAGCAATACAAAGGGTAATACGATTTTGCAGTTCACGGAAAACATTTGCCAACTGATTTACAGAAATGCCTGAAATCACATTAGTTATTTTAGCTATACTTAAAACTAGGTACATTAAACTTTATAACATTTTTTACAGATTATTTCTGTCACAAATACAAATAAAGATATAATTTTTTTAAAGTGCACCCGAACTTTATGGACATCTGTATCTATAAACTGCCTTTATATTTTAAATATATTCTTCCTGTTCTCTCAGTAACATAAAATAATTAATTCATGACCATTGACAATCTCTTAATTACTGAGTTACAATTAATTTCTATAACAAATTCAGCAGAAGGGCCTTTACTTTGTATATATAACAGCAAAATTCTATCAGAAAAGCTAGCCTGACTTCCTCATAAACTACAATCATTTTTCCTAAATTTTTTCTACATTCCTTTTTTATTGATACCTGGCAATCTCGTCCTGGGTATGAAGATAAACTACATCCGCATCCTGGGTAAGACTGTAAACTACGTCCAACAGTAAGGCCTCTGATCGGGAGTTTTTGAGGAGTGTGGAACCACCACTTAATTGCTAGTGTTCCCAGGTCCACCCTGAACCGGGGTGGTAGCACCTGTTAGGGTCCCAGCTATGGGCAAATAGTTAACACCCAAAATTGTGTAACAATAGGTTTTAATAGCAGAAATACTTTGTAATAAGAAAAAATATTACCAGCAATAATTTTTAAAGGAAAAATTATTATCATCAATACTTTAAAAAAAATGCCAGCAATACAAACAGTTATAAATTCTTTGAAAAAAAAATATGACCAGCTATAGATTTCTTGAAGGAAATAATATTCTCAGAAATAGATTTTTGAAGAAAAACATATTACCAGCAATAAAAATTTTTTTGGCAATTAAATAACTCATTGAGATTGATATGCTGTAAAACAAAATAAACCAAACCAAACCAAAAGGCAGTTACGGCTCTCCACATACTCCTATATTCATCTATGAACTGCTATATCTTCTTGGGAAATATACTGGAGTGACTGTACGTTGCCTTTTCTGATGTTTTGAATTCAGAATTTTCGAAATCAGAGTAAGTATTCTTGTAGAATGGTTGCTACAAAAGGCCAGGGATTCTTGTCTAGATAGAAATGCCTTTCACAAATATATCTGTGTGAAAGTGAACGCAAAAGACTAGGCTAGGAGTTGAACTCATATTTCCACTCCTTCCGGCCGCCAACTTCTTTAATAAATCAATTGTATGCTTTAGAGAAATGCCGCTAACAAATTTTCTTCTACCTATTTTCAATGTAAAACATACAGACTGGATCCCTAAAATTGTTAGACCCTGGGCTCATGGCACTGTTTACCGGGAGTAATCTGGTTAAATATTACCACTGAGCAGTGAGATCCATCCTCACGGGGGTACTCCACATAAAATTCGACATTAAAAGCTCGTCAATATATACAGAATAGATTTTTTTTTTAAAAGCAAGTAAAAAAAAAAGAAAAATTATAAATCAATACAGTAAATAAATATAAATATATGTGTAGCACATTCCGATAAAGGGTGTGGCATACATGTAAGTACGACATTGCATTTTCGGCTAAATATCCATGGGGTTAAATGTCCGTCAGCCAAATATTCGTTTGGCGAAATGACCCTTGGCCAAATGTCTATCGGCTAAATGTCGTTCGGCGAAATGTCGTTCAACGAAATGTCTCTCGGCCAAAGGTCTGACAGCCAAATGTCCGTTCGGTGAAATGTCCGTTCGGCTAAATGTTCCTTGACCAAATGTCCTATGTCAAATGGCTATTTCGCAAATACTAGCTTATGTGCCCGCATACACTGGATAAAGTTTATGACTCGCTATAATATCCGTCTTTCGCTTCTCATTCGTAATGATGCTGCTCTGATTTGCTTAATGGAACGAATCATATTCAAATTCGACGCACAACCTATTCCAGGTGAATGAATTAAAATGTATAAGAAAGGAATATCTATTTTAAAATCTTTGTTATCAATGACATTTCTGAGTACGTCGTTATCTAAAGTGCCGTTGGTGGTACATCAGTGCGGAGTCTATTATTTTCTGTCAAGGCACGAAGTGAGGCAGAGGGCAGTTCTTTTCTTTGAGATGACATTCGAGGTGGATTTGTTTATGAAGTTATCGTCTTCTAGCCTTTGCTTAAAGAGGTAGAACCTACAGGGTTTGAAATTACAGTTTTCATTTAGGAGAAAGAAAAATTCTAAAGACTGTTTGCCAAGTCTATAGGATCCAATCTGTCCTTCTATTTACCCATAGCTGGGGGGAGAAAAGATGAATTCGTACCATTCCCAAATGAATGCAATGAACTTGAATGGAGTTCCAACGGCTCCCCAATTCATCGATGCCAGCCCCTATTCATAACTTCTCTTCTGAATATAAATCGACACCGGAATTCTTAAATAGTTACTTTTGAAGACTTTAAGAATTGTGGGGTCGATTTGACATTGTACTTATAATAGGAACAGGCACCTATGTTAAAATGATAATGAATCATTATTTTTAGAATTTGACAAATGTCAAGGCTTGAGGGCGATCTCATGAATGCTAATCTATGATTATTTAATATTTATTTAATACAAAAAGTTTTCCTATTTTCCACGAACAGACCAATCAACCTTTGTAGTGCTGTTCACTTGCACAATCAAATCGTGTAGTCCCTGAGGAGTGTACAGACAAATCTCCCAGCAAGCTAGACTTTACTGTTACGGTTTCCATATCTAGTTGCTAGTCCCATGACGATCAGGTTTTGAATTCAGAGATGTCCTTCTCCTAGACTGGTTACCAACCACGACTAAAAAGCCCTGTCTTCCCAAGTTAGTTATTTAGCGATAGCAGGGGATTCATACATTTCCCAAAGGTATCAGCATGTATGGGAATGCAATGAACTAACCTGGAATTCGAACTCGGCACTCCGAGCCGCTATCCATTACTCCATAATGCCTCCTCTTTTGAGCAGGTTTTAAATTCCTTCTCCTAGACTGGCTACCAACCACGTTTAAGAGCCCAGTCTGTCCTACAATTTAACCTATAACTGGGAGACAAGATGGAGTATGTGAGCGTAATTCGAACTCGGCAATCCGATTTCACATCCATTACACCACCACACATCCACATTAATGCAGGAATCGCTTATAATGGCTCTCCACTCTTCTTTTTCTTTTTTCTTGGTGAATTGCTATGATTTTTTTTGAAAAGATTGTCGAGTGTTTTTCCCACTTTATCCACGATTTAGAATTTTCTTTCTCTTAGTTTGGTTGCCATTCAGATATACAGAACCCAGTATATTTAAGCCATACCTGGGGTGTGGAGGAGATATAGATGTATATATTTCCCAAGTAGTAGTAGCAAAGAGAATGCAACAGACGAGGCCGGAATTTGAACCCAGCCTGCAGGTCCCACTTTCTGCACCAATAACCGTTTTACTGCCCACACATCCTAATAAATTTGTCGGCGTGTTTCACTTCAGTTAACGAAATTGGAACATCATTGGAAAACACACAATAAATATATAAAACCAATAATATCCTACTTTTAAGTTATTACAGAAGTGTGGTTCTAGAGAAAGGATGCTGAGAATACCATGAACCGAACATGTGAGCAACGACGAAGCCCTAGAAACAATTGAAACAAAATGGACACTTATAATTAAAATTAGGAAGAGACAGTTGAAATTTCGTGGGCAAGTAATGAGGAAAGAGGGTCTGGAAAATTTGATACTCACAGAACGGACTGAAGCCAAGAGGGACAGAGGAAAGCAGCATCTAACATAGCAAGCAATCTTGAGTAAATGGATTGCAGAGAAAGGTTTAGGAGAGATAACAAAAGGACAAAATTTATTAAGATCTACAAAGGAAAGGAAATTGTGGAGGGCCATGACCGCCTACGTTCCCTAAGTGATACGGTACATGGAAGAACTGCTCATAGTCACTCAAAAATAAATTTGTTGAGAAATAGAAAATGTATTTCGGGGGAAAACTTTTTTTAAGTTCACTTACTTTTTCAATATTGCTTCATTCCAAGCATTAATCCCAAAAGAGAAATTATAGTTTTATATCGAACGGTTGCAAACGGTAATTGTTAATATAAATGATATTTCCACACAATTGAAAAACGTTTGACACCTCCACTACCCACCTTGCCACAAAGATGAGCAAAATAATTGTATAACTTTTGTTTGGGACCAATAAGTAAGTATCACATTTTGACGGCTGTATATAGCAA